ATGTAATGGTTCAATAATGATGTAGGTATTAGCTTAAGAAAATCATAGACAACCTTCTGCTTCTGTTTGTATCCAACAACAGACATTAATGGAGGTTACAAGCATTAAGCAACCATGTGTCAAATGAAACCACAGGAAAAGGGTAGTTTCTAGGCTTGGAAAGGGATCTAAGTGATATCGTCTCCCTTGCTAGATTTTATGTTTCCTTTCGGACTTCATTGACGAATGTCTTTTTGTAATTACTCGAAAGGCATTATTCTACACAACTGTGGAGGTGTTTTCTTTACTGGTATTCCCTTTTGTGGGCTTGATTTTTCTAGATGCCCGTGTAATCTTTTGTTCTTATTCTCATTGAAAAGTTGTTTTCTTATTAAGAAGAATGTAGACACAGGAAAAGGAAGCCACTCTACCTTACCTTCATCTGAACAGCATTTTAAGAATTAGCATACATTTTGACAGAAAAGGTCCCTTAATCCCTTCCTTCCATTGACACTGTATTCAGTTTTGTCTAGTGCTCAGGAGATAAAAGAGCAAAAAGCTTTGTTGATGGAAGGTATTGGGTTTATCAATACCAACACATCTCTAACTAGAACAAGAACCAATTCAGAAAACAAGCACCAACCCTGGGTTTGCTAGAGTGGTAGAATGTGATACAAATTGGAAGAAACTTCTATGGCAGAAATATTCAACAGAAAAAGCATACGATGCGTTTACCAAGAAAAAACAAAGAGGGAGACAGAGCAATTGCATAGGAATCTCTGGTGGGTGACGACACGAACGTCACAATCAATATAACCTTCAGCAATAAGAAGATCGAAAACCACTCTGATACAACATTTGACCAGGTGAAGTTAAGAGATGAATCTATTCACCTCAAATATATGCACAAGGGCTGTGAAATTGTAGAAGATTGAGTAGACATACAACTAAGCAAAATAGAAATTGAACATAGCACCAACTTGCAGCTAACTATTTACAAGTAGTTAAGCATATGTAAAAAAGATAATTGCTAATTTACAACTACAAAATCAAGGCAGAGAATCTCAATATATACATAACAAATGAACACACAAGTCATATGTCTTCAAATTCGTTTATTTCTAGTTTAATGTGGAAACAATATTGACTGCGGGGCAACATTTTAAGGTTTCACTCAACAGGCAGAAGCAACAAACATCAAAGCAATATAAGTTGTGTCATATGACATTCACTTACAATGCCTGCAGATCAGCCGATCCCGTCGAGCTCCGAGGAACAATTTCTTGGATGCTGGCGGAAAAATATATACAATCATGGAATCCCACAGTTACAGATGGGGAATATATGCACCCACCATCACTGCAAGTCTCCAAGGAAAATTCAATATAACCCCATGATCAAATACTCGGAGAACATGAAGAAAATGCACAGACAAGAAATCACCACTGAAAGTGAATTCACTGGAATATAGACATAATAGTAACATCGATCGAATTTTCATAGCAAGCCCAGTAAGTCATAATTTCTAAATGCGTAAATTTCACATACATCACACAGCAATAAGATGTCATGCCATTCTGTTAACCTCTGGCCTTGAGCTCTGCAAGGCGCCTCGTTAAGTCGTCCTCGTCAACTTTCTCGGTCTCCTTCGTTGGCATTGCATGTGAAGCCGGCTGCGGTAGCCCGACGGAGACTTCCAGACCGTAATCATCCGCGACCTGCTGCATCAAGCTGTTGACTTCTCCTTCCGGAGTCGAGAGCGACGTAGATCCGGCCATTGCATTTTCCATAAACTCGGCCTGAACCTCCATATTCACAAACTGCTTCTCAAATTGGTCCATATTTTCGGACATCTTCTGCAAATTTCCAGTCGCCAAAGAAGATTCCAACGACTTAACGATCGACGCCATGGACTTGTTAATCGTGGACATCTTGGCCTGTGTGTCGAGCCGAGCCACAACAGCATCAAGCCTCGAGGACAGGCGGAGATAGTTCATCTGTTCTGTTCGTTTACGGATCGCGTTCTCCGCGTAAATTCGAGCTCCATCAACATTTCCTTTCTCCATAGCCTTCTTGATCTTGAGCTTCTCAGCTTTCTCTTCCTTCTCGCACTTCCTGGCTTGGCGTTGCAGCGACTTCGAAGTAAATTTCAATTCCATGATCTGATTCAACAATTTCTCGGTGTTTCCCATGATCGGAGATCCCCCAAATGCGGTGGAATTTAATGGGGAGCCTGATGAAAGATGCTAGGGCTCGAGAAGAACTGGATTTGGGGAAAATAAATCTTCCTGAGAAACGATGAACTTTCTGTTGAAGAATCGCTTGACTAGTGGCGAAGGAGTTTTTGGATGCCACCTTTAAAACCCTAACTATTTAAACGCGTGAATTAATTTAATTTTTTATTCTGATTTTGAACTTTGTTTAAATAAAATAATTAATTTAATTTTTTATTATGATTTTGAACTCTATTTAAATAAAATAATTAATTTAAATTATATAAAATTACAACAATAAAATAAATAGTAAATAATACTAGTTTTTCAGGTTTGTCTTGTACTATTTTTCTCAATTAATTTAAAAATATTTAAATGATAAGTTTTATTGTCACTCTGTTTAAATATTTTAATAAAAAATAATAATAATGTTAAGCGGCAGTTATGTTTGACTAAATATCAGGTCTAGTGTGGATCGTACATGAATGGTAGTTGGAATCGACGATGAAGCATAGGTGGCAAGCAGTTATTATAGATATGATATTTTATATGTAGACCCTTCGAAAAAGAAGATTTGCACAAAATCGATAAACAGAGAAAAAAGATGGATCATTTTTCAATGAATAGTATGTAAAGGAAGAGCTTTTTTATCCTCACTTGGAAAGTACGGTCGCAAGATTGAAACTCAAAGCAATTGACAGGGCTTGTAGCTCGAAAGATTAGAACATGTGATTGTGCCCAATAGGGCCAAATGAATGTCACCACCTTCAGTTCACGTGCTCCGGTGTTCAAAGGGCGATCACAAAGTCACTTCATGAATGTCATTTCTCAATTCTCAATGTCGCCGAGTCTATTTTTTTCCAAACATCGTTACTATCTCAACTCTTGTCATTTCAACTCACATCTAAATTAATTAAAATATTTACATAGACGTGAATACTAGCCTAATTTAATTAGGATATTTACCTAGTAAGTAAAATAGAAGGGTAAATTAATAATAAAAAAAAGCTCTAATTTATCTAAAAAAAAATATATACTTAAATCTTTCAAAATTTTGAATAAAACCCTTAAACTATTTTTTTTTTAAATATAACAAACTTAATTAGCTAATAATTTGTTTACAAAAATATTTTAATGTTCTTTTTAATTTTTAAAAGTTTTATTTATATCGCTAAAAAATATATTTACTATTATTACTTTGTTTAAAAAATACAAATTTTAAAAGTAAACATCTATAAAAAATATATTAATATATTGTCAAAAAACGTCTATCTAAATTTCATAGATTATCTCAAAATTTCATAAAATTTGTGAATATTTTTTAAATGTGGGAATAGATGTAGATGTATTTTTTATTTAAAAAAAGAATTAATATTATATATATATGTATATATTTTTTTTAAAGTTTTTAAATAAATTTAAAGGTATTTTTACGATATTTTTGAAATCATTTAATTTTTTTTAAAGCTGTCATTAATTTTTTTTAAAAAAATTAAATTTAAAAGTATTTTGTATTAATTCAGTGGAGATAAAAGAATGGACAAATTCTCTTTACTTAAAAAAAAAAAAAAAAAAAAAAAAATTAAATATAGTAAATGGAAAAATCTGCAGATCTACCTTGAAATTGTGTGAGAGAGTGTGTGTGTGTTGTTGTTATTTTTTAAATGATACCAACAATCGTGGCTTAGCTGTGTACATTAATATTGTAAAAGTTTGCATTGAAACCCTCGCATTCAGCCTCACCTTAATCAAATATTTATTTCTCTTTTGACTTCCGCTGTTTAAGGATACAATTTTATGAAATTGCCATGCTTTAATATTTGATTCCAAAGGACTCTACTCAACAATCCTTTCAAACGCTACGTCTTTCTTAACATTAATCAACTCCACAACTTAACACTTAGCTACAATTTATTTATTAAAAAAAAAAACTAAGCTTCTCCCTTTCTCTAGAGCTCAATCTCCACGTCTTTGCAACTCGATCCTCCTTCGTTTTGTACCTGAAAATATCAATCAACATTGTTGGATGAAAGTCTTACATTGGCTAATTTAGGGAAGAGTTTATGCTTAAAGGTGACAATATCATCTTAATAAGTGTTTTCTTTACCTGGGAGGAGTTTGCGGTGGTACTAGGTGAGGGAGACCAACCCAACGACCTTTTGCCACCGGACGCTTTCTTGGAGGCATTCTGGGACTTTTTCAAGCCTAGAAACCCCTTCCAGCTGCCCCTCGAAGGGCGCTGGGAAACATCGTTCTCCTCCTCATCTTCCTCTTCCTCTTCCTCGACCAGAAGTTCATCTCTAAGAGTAGTGGCAGCCCTGTGGGAGTCCTTGAAGGGGAGAAGGCGTCCCTCGAAGAAGAGTTCGTCGGCTGTCATCATGGAGTAGTTGGAGACGGAGAATTCGAAATCAGAGGAGGAGACGGGGCCCGGGGCAGCACAGGAGCGTTGCTCTTGGCGTTTGAGGGACTGCTGGATGTCCACGAAGTCGCTTGAGAAGGAGATTCGAGGGCTGGCCGGAGCACGGTGGTGGAGGGACTTATGGTCGGAGTTGTACATGTCTAAGCATGCCATTACAGCTGTGAAACCAACATTGGGGAGAAGGAACAAAAATATTCACTATTATCTCTATCACCAAACAATGTTAACTTTCCACAAACCTACCTATTTATACCTCTTTATCTTTGCTTTGACGGCTGTGCCCTTTTTTTCTTCTCTCTCTATAAAATATATACTATATTAGTTTCTCACATTTTATGATTATGTTATGTTACGGGGCCATGTTGTGATATTGATNAATCTTTCTTTAGAAGCATAACTTCCATCGAAGGGGGTGAAAAACGAAGAAACAGAGTTGAAGAAGAGGGATTTGGAGATTGGGAAAGTTGCAATCTAATAATGGAAAGAACTGTTGATGATTCGAACGTTAGGAGCCGAAATAGAAATGTGGAGTAGCAGACGGAGAACAATCTGCTTGAATTTCTTAAACTCAAAGCTCTTGATTCTTCGTCGGTTGCGGATTTCCGTCTCTATTTCGAGCTAGCTGAATTCCAGACTGCAAAACACACTGAGAAACGTTTTGCAATAAACGATTCGTTTCTGCTTTTCTGGTATGCTCTTTCACTGTGAATTTCGCCGCCCCATTGCGTAAAAAGGGGTTTTATGGGCTATGGGATGAAGGATGATCTCAATTGGCCTTCGAGTCCCCAAAAGTGTGTTCTCTTTTTGTTCACCAAGTTTTAGTACGTGTCTATCTCCTTCTATTATCGCCCATGTGTCATCCAATTGCAATGCTATGTGCTTAGGCACCTGGGTTGTCTTCACTCCGTCGAGATTTGTTTTGTTTCTTCTTTATGCATCCGTTCTACCAGTTTTGTTGAAAGATTTTGTTGAATTAGTTCCCGTAAAGCTTCATTTGAGCCATTTGAGCTAATGCATGTTCCCCTTTGTGAGCGTTTTGTTGGGTGTTTGATAAATTTAAGCTTATTTTTCCCATATCCGTCTAGTCCCAAAAGGTATTGAGACCCGGCTACTGGGGTTCTTGGAACCGAGTTTTTGTCTTCTTGACCGATCCTAACTTTCCCCAGTTAAGTATTCGAATGTTCTGTTTCCATACGGTGTTGTATTCTTAATCTTTTGGTGCTCCTGGGTGTACTGTAGAGTGTGAGTGAGCGCTGAAATGAAAGTCCATCCGGAAGAACAAACTGTATTTGAGGTATGCTTGGTAGTTCCGAAAAGGAAAACGAAGAAAGAAGATGCCACTTGTGACTGTGTGGAGGTGCTTGAAAATTCGTTTCGTAAGGTGGGTTTTATCGTTGAGAGAATTGATGGGGTCACTGACGAGTTCATGAAGGTTTGCCCCTGCTACTTGTTTTATGTTCCACGAGTTTATTCTGCAGATATCATTTCTATTGATGTGAATTTGAACAATGGTCATTACTTATTAGATAGTAGCGTGATTTATAAGCATGATTTCCGTCAATTTTGGCATAAAATTGTTATAGGCATGTGTTCGCTTAACATTTACGTGCACCAGAGATGCTGTTCGTATCTCTAAAACATTTAAGCAGAAGTGTCAGTATGAACTAATAGCCTAGTGAGTTTTTGCCTTGTGCAGCCGAGATTAGATGCCAATGTAGGTGATTTGCACTTAACTCGCCTTCCGCTTGCTAGACAAAAGTTATATATTATTTTGGTCTCGTTTAACTTGTGAACATATGTTTATTGATTCTTAAGCTTTTTGATGGATGAGTAGTTAAGTTTATGTGAAGCTTTTCACATTTCTTATCTGCCAATTCATTTATTGTGATTTGACGAGCTCCTGCTTCTAAATCTAGTTGGCTGCTCCTCTGGAGGTATTAGGAAAGGCTGCTGCACGCCTAGAAATGAAGAAGAGGACTCATATTGGTAAGCTCGAGTATCTTTAGCAAACCTCCTGTTCAACTTTTGTCTTCCTTTCTCCGTTGGCCCTCTCTATAACATGTTTTAAAAAGGTTGTGTTTTTGTTTTTCTGCATTGGTTTCGGTGCTCTCTTGATACAAGGTATGGATTTGCTTTTTGAACTGGACGAGGTTGATGCTTTTGTGAGACAGCCCGATGGTTCACTCTTCAGTTGGAGTGAGCGATTTCGTTGCTATGATCACTTGATATATGGGATTGTAAGTAACTTCTCTCATGGCTCAAGGTTTTCCCCATCCGCATATCCTATTAGCTACACTATTGTCTCAATGTTTTTCTTATAGCAATCCATTTTCATAAGTTTTGAAATTTTGAGTAATTTCTTGTATGGAAAAAGTTGCTTTGGTGGTTTAATAATTTCATCTGTCTACCTTTTGCTTTCATGTGCAAATAATGGTGCCAAGCATTAAAATTTTATTTTAATGTACGTCACTCAAAAATGCGAATACGAAAAACAAGCCAGTAAATTATATTTTATTTTTTATTTTTTATTTTAACCCACGATTAGGCATCTGATTATGACTATATCCTTCCCATTGACGTTCGTCAGTTCATAGCGTATGCTGTACCTCTACATTGCCAGATATAAGGTATTTCATTTTACAGGTAAATGAGAATCAGTCAGCTGTAACTCTTAAATGTGATGAAGAAGAATTTCAGTGGAAGATTGGGGAGAGTTTGGTCCGTACATTGGAATCCAAGAAAATTGTTAAACAAATATTTCCTCTGCACGGTATAGTTTCCCTGACTTCCCTAAAATTTTGCAGCTGTGTGTCGTATATTCCGAGGAAATAAGATTGCTATTTTATAGATGAAATAAGGAGGAAGAAGCTCCTTGGAAATTGGGCACTTAACTGGTGGAACTTGACCGGCCAGCCTATTGATGAGGTGTATTCATATTTTGGTGCAAAGGTACTTCAACTATAATTTTATTTCGTAGCAGCTTATCATTCTGATGTGCATTTTGACTGACATGTAAGAGAATTAACTGTTTGAAGATTGCACTCTACTTTGCATTCCTTGGAATGTATACACAATGGATGCTATTTCCAGCTGCACTTGGGCTTATACTTCAGTTAGTTGAGTTTGGGTGAGCCACTCTATCCATTAGCTGCAAGACCATCGTTCTTTTTAAATCGTGCAAGCATTCCAAATTTACGTAAAAATAAACAACATGTTGCTCATCTTGCTTACAGGTCCTTGCGATTACTGGTCCTCCCTATTTTCTTTATAAGCATTATTTTATGGGCTATCATGTTTTCCCAGTTCTGGAAACGGAAAAACTCTGCCCTTATCGCCAGGTACCTTGGTCTAAAAGCATTAACACGTCAACAGAGCGTGAATCTGCATATGCTATTATGGTCACTTCCTTTTTATCTGTCATTTGGCATATCACTCATTCATTTCTCTCTACACTTGCTGTAAAGATGGCAGATCAATTATACATTTGGAGGTGATCCAGGTTATAGACTCTCAGGCGTGGATTGTACCTCCCTACAAGTACCTGTAGAGCTCATAAAAGATCAAGAAATGGATAAAAGAAAAGAGAAGGAAGCATTTCAAAAAATTGAATGGTTTGGTCGACTTAGGCGAGTCAGAAATGATGCAATTGTCATCTTGAGCATTATATGCCTCCAGTTGCCTTTTGAGTTGGCATATGCTCATTGTTATGAGGTTATTCAGTCGGATGTTATCAAGTAAGAATACTAGATATATTTAAATATTGCATGCACTTGTACTCGGGATATATTTATCGAACATTTTGGATCATTCTATGTTGAGCATTTTTTTTTCTTGCCGTCCCAGCTGTTTCAGTTTTTGACCTTTCCCTTTAGGCACATGCATTTGATCAATTTGAAAAGAAGCCATGAACTGTCTCAACTTTTTCTTCCTTTACTAATGATGCAAACGAAGTAAAATTTTCATGATATTTACAGTCAGAATCTCCACTCCTGATTATGCCTTATTTTAGCTATCTCTTGGTAACTGTATAAAAATTATTTGGGGACACACCGTTCAGTATTTTATATATATAATTTTGGTTTCAGGTTTGGGTTGACTGTCTTGTACCTTTTTGCCATTCAATATTTCACGCGATTGGGAGCTAAGATGTCCGTGAAGCTCATTAACTGTGAAAACTATGATAACAATGAAAAAAGGGCTGATAGTTTGGTTTACAAGGTAAATGGGCCTTGTCTGTTCATTGTTCTCATCATCTCATGGATTTAGTTCACTTAGTTGAGTTTTCTTGCAGGTTTTTGGTCTTTATTTTATGCAATCCTATATTGGAGTCTTCTACCATGCCCTTCTGCACCGCAACTTTACAACTCTTCGTCAAGTTCTAGTACAACGCCTCCTTATATCTGAGGTGAACAAACGATTAACTTTGTAACTCTTCACCAAGTATTTAGTTTTGTTCTTCATTATTTCAGAACATAACGTACTTTGAATTTGAAATTGTCATTCAGGTGTTGGAAAATGTGTTGGAAAATTCTCTACCTTATCTCAAGTACAGCTATAGAAAATACAAAGTTCGGTAAGCACTCCCATTTTTTCCAATAATTTTTGGACTTGTTACATTGTGGGCATGCGCAGGCTTGCCTTTTCATATAACTGGGCTCGGCCTACTGTCCTTCTGGTGTAAAGGAGCAAGAAAAGACTTGAAAAAGGATCACCTCAAGGGAAAATCCTGTTCACTTCTCGGGCGGAGAAAGAATACCTGAAACCTTCTTATTCTGCGAGCATTGGCGTTGAGTTAGAAGATGGGCTTTTTGATGGTAATAGGCTAAATACAAATCTTTGAAACAAGTAGTATTATTGTGTCATTTCCTAATCTCATACATTATATTCAGTTTCCTCAAAGTTTGTAACTTCTGAGGCTTCATTTCTGTTTCTTTAGTAGACTGAGTGAAATTGGAATTTCTTCTTTGAACCCTTTGTTGACTTGAAAAATATTACCTTTTGGTAGTTATTGTTCCTGCTTTTGGGACTTCCTGGCGTTTTCCTTGTTGCACTTGAAATTTTCTGCTCAGTTTTGATTGGTTTTCCCCTAGTGACAAAGCTAAGATAGTTTGGTCTGATCTAAAGCTTATATTAGAGTAGAGAGAGGTCAAAGAACGAGATGCCGGATTTGGCTTTTCTTAGAAGCTCTCAATATGTGTTTATAAATTTGTGTTCCTCGTTCAACGACTTCTACTACTGTTTCCCCTTCTAAATCTAACTCCAACTCCAACACCGAATGCAGATTGTTTGGAGTTAGCGTTGCAGTTCGGAATGATAATGATGTTTGCTTCTGCATTCCCTCTTGCATTTGCATTTGCTGCATTGGTAAATTCTTTCTTGATTCCATTGTTTTTGGTTTGCTTTACCAATACCGTATATTTCTTATTTACATAGGACAATCTTCTGACTCCTATATGCAGAACAACATCGCAGAAATAAGAACAGATGCTCTGAAACTGCTAGCTATATACAAAAGACCCTTTCCCCGTGCAGCAACCACAATTGGTGCTTGGCTCAACATTTTTCAGGTATTCCCGTTTTGGATATAACAATTACTCTATCTGCGTCTTTTAAAATAGAGTTTCTTAAAGAACTACACGTTTGTCGAATTTCACTCAACAATATGGTAGAAGTGTAGAACCCTTGAAGTTATTTTAGGTTCAACTTCATTTAAACGCATGGTAATGACTGAAGTTATTCCCTCCCTATGGAGGAAGGTTCATATTTAAATCTATATCGATGTCTAACAAAGTGGCAAACCACTTAAAATTGCAGTTTCTGATAGTGATGTCCATATGCACCAACTGCGCACTTCTTGTATGGTTATATGATCAGGAAGGGAAATGGAAGATTGAACCTGGACTTGCAGCCATTCTAGTTATGGAACATGTTCTCCTTTTGCTCAAGTTTGGCTTCTCTCGTTTAGTACCGGAGGTAAAATTTAACAATCCCACTTTAACCTTTTTGAGCCTTCTATATGAAAAATGTAAAAGAACCGCACTTTTGGCGATCCCAGATAATCAAACTAAAAGGTACTAAAGATGATGATGTTTTCATTGGCAGGAACCTGCATGGGTTAAAGCCAATCGTGTGAAGAAAGCCGCACAGGCGCAGGACATTTATTCAAAACAATTGTTAAGAACCATATCAGGTGGAGAAAAAGCTCTAAACAATGTAAAGAAAACTGAGTAGAAAGAAGAAGGTATTGATAAACCACATTCTTCCCACTTCTATCCTCTGCTATAGAGCATATAGAATTATAGATAAATATCATAGTAGTCTCTGATTTTACATAAGGTGTTCTTTTTTTTTTTTTTTTTTTTTTTTTTTTTTTTTTTTTTTTTTTT